TTGGGGAAGTTATTTGTCAATAAAGACTGTCTGGCCAATAGGAATCTAGATAGGTGGGACTAGGAGTCCAGAGGATTCTGGGAAGGAGAAACACAAGAGAGTCGACATGTAACCGCCATGGGTAGGAGCCCGGAACTATTCTCCGGTAAGAGACATACTTAGATTAACAATTATGGGGTAATTACTTAAGTCAGAGCTAGCCAGTAAGAGACAAGCAAGGCCAACAGCTTCATAATTAATACAGTGTCTTGTGTGATTATTTGGTGACTAGAATGTGGCAGAGCCCAGGCGGCTGGCGGGGGATATACCAAAGTGGCTAGCAAAGAAAAAGCTTCTCTTAACAGTTTAAGTCTCCTGTTCTTAACATGATCAGGGAGGCCACAGATTGTATAAGAATTCCTGATATATGAGTTACAGACAGTAGTGAGCTTCTGTATATCCTAGGAATGGAAGCTGTATGCTCTGAAAGAATTTTCAGTGCTTTTCACTGCTGAAGATATTTTCAGCATAAGTTTTCCCTTATTTCTGTTTGTTTGAGACAGGATTGTTCTGTGTAACAGTCCGGGATGTCCCAGAACTAACTCTGTAGAGCTGCCTGGACTCAAATATACAGAGATCCACCTGTCTCTGCCTCTCAAGTGCTGGGATCAAATGCTTATGCCACCACCTCCAGGCAAGTTTTCTATTCTAGATTTTGCTTCCTGTCCAAGGCTGTCATTTCAGGGTCAGGCACCTGATGGTGATTCAAAATGTGAATTCTCCTCCGTTTGAGAGAATAAGCATCAGGCAGGCATGAGCTGCCTAATTGTTTATGCAATAAAACAATGTAAGGCAATTATCCTTATATGCACAACCACCACAAATGATTGCAGCTGGTTGTATTCATGTATTTCAGTATACTTATTCACCTATGCATAATAAGGAAGCCGTTGGAAGAAATTTGGGGAGGAATGGAGTGAAGAGATAAAAGTGTCAATTGGTATAACACATTCTAATTATCAGTTTATGGAAGTAAATTTTAAATAAAAAGATGCACTAGAGAGATGGCTCAGCAATTCAGAGCACTTGATGTTATCACGAAGAACCTAGGTTCCATTTCCAGAACACATGTTAGTTAACCATTTGCTGTAACTCCACTCTCAGGTGTCTCCAGCCTTCTTCTGGAATCTCTAAGTGCTGTGTACAGACACATGCAGGCAAAACATCCAAAACAACTAAATTTTTAAAAAGTTAGAAAAGGGAAAGAACGGAATTCTCTACTGGGATGTTACAGAGCACAGGAACAACTAGGGACAGGTAAAATAAATTCATAATTGTCTAGCAGGGAAGCAGCTATGACCTTCCATTGAGCCTGTCTGCTCAGAGGAAAAAGCAGCATTGTTCTGAGCTTACCAGAGATCATTGTTATAATTAATGTAAGAACAGAGTATACAGTGATATAACATGACTTTTCCTTGATATTCTCTGTATTTGTGTTCTCTGTCTTTTTCATCTGTAAGAACGGTGCATTGGTAAAATCACCTTTTAAATCAAACATAAGTATTGACAGGAAGCATAAAATCCAAAGCAAACTACTTTCATGGTATCACTTTCTTTATTTTCAGCTAAGATAGTGTGGTTCAGGAAGAATATGTCAGAGGCATTTCTTTACAACATTTTATAATTTATAAGTATCCCTGCATTACTGTGAGGTAAGAATATTCCTAAATGTCTTTGCTTCTACATTGTGATCATGTTCAGATGAGGATTTGGTAACTGAGCCTATTTTAGGAATAGACAAAGCCCATGTGAATGTGTCCAGACTCACTAAGTAAAAATCTCATGCTTCCTTTATTTAGTAAAAGCATTGGTTTTGATAACTTCCATGCTCTCCTTGTTTCCTGAATGCAAGGCCTGTTTCTCCTTTCTTCTATCTTGCCAGTATTAATGACTGTTTTGGTAACTCAATTGACTCCCTTTGGAATTAACTAAAACCCAAGCAGTTGTCTCACCTGTGAAGGATTTTTCTTAAAGGTGTTGAATTTAAAGACCTATCATTTAATCTGGATAATGTAAATTAATGAGTCACTTTCAGCTGATACATAGCAGTACATACTTTTAACCCCAGCACCCCAACTGATGCAAATGGATTTTCTAAGTTTGACATCCAGCCTGGTTTACAAAATGAGTTACAGTGCTACACAGACAAACACTGTCTTGAAAACAGCAAAAGCAATCAAAGAAGAAATGAAATCCACTTTAATCTGGATCATACTTTCTGGTAGCAGCAGACATACATGAACATGTTGAAGGAATCTCTCTTTGCCTGCTTGCTCTCCCTCTAGCTACCATTACTAGCATTCGAGGAGACTTCTTTAAAGGATTTTGGTGTATAATGAAGACCAGTGAGACATCCAGCATGATGAACTAAACAAATACTGGACCATTTAAATTTCCAATAGCAGGCAGCCCTTATTGAACTATGTGGACCACATCTTGTGAGACAATCTCCATTCTGATAAATCCACTGATTACACACATGGCAAGACTCTTTCTACCAGTCCTGTTCATGTAGAGAACCTAGAATAATGTAGCTGTTTTCTTCTTATCTGCTCACTGAAGAATGATGTGCTATTCTCCCTGTTTCCATTACTCTCTCTCTCTCTCTCTCTCTCTCTCTCTCTCTCTCTCTCTCTCTCTCTCTCTCTCTCTCTCTCTCTCTCTATCTCTATCTCTCTTTTGGTTTTTATGACACAGGGTTTATCTGTATTGTTTTGGAGGCTGTTGGTCCAGCCTGGCCTCAAGCTCACAGAAATATGCCTGCCCCTGCCTCCCGAGTGCTGGGATTAAAGGCGTGTGCCATCACCGCCTGGCTCCATTACTCTCTAAGTTTCCAAATTTCCATGAAGACTACAATTTCGGGGCTAGTGAGATGGCTCACTTGTTAAGAGCACTGGCTTCACTTCCAGAGAACCTGGGTTGAAGTCCCAGAACCCACATGGCAGGTTACAACTGTCTGTGACTCCAATTCCAGGTGATCAGACACCTGCATATAGACATACATGCCATCAAAGCACCATTGCACATAAAATAAGAGTCATTTAGAAATATAAATGAAAGCTAACACTTTATTATTATTCATTTGCCCAGAGTTTGCTCTGCATTTCATGCTCCTAAAGCAATGGAACCATCATCTAGCCTTGTGATTGGAGAAAGACCTAGGTTCTTGTTTGAGATTAAGGTCCTGCTTTTCTTCCCTGGTTGTCTGTATTCTGTGTGACAACCAGGAATAAAGTACCTTCAGTTCATCTGACCTCAGAGTGAACTACAGAATACACATTGTCTTTAGGGCCTTGAAATCTCTCTTTAGTTGTTAATATTCTGGACACCCTTCCACTGTGGGACAGGAAATAATCACTCCACCCACATTGGATAGTGGGCTGTGCAAGCTAGGGAGGCACATTTTGTCCTGGAAGAAGAAGAGTGTACAGGATGGTAGCAGGGTCTGCTGTTGGAGCCAGGGTCCAGTGGTATTTAAATGCAGATCTCTGCTGATCTAGAAAACATCTTTGTCTAGGATAAAAGTCAAGGTCAGTAATCATTGTGCTGTGTCTTTAAGGACACTGTAACCCTATGGTAATTTCTCTTGTCACTCAGGCCTCACTAGCCAATCAATGCCTCCAGGAAACCTGTCAGTCAGAAGACATACAGAGCCCTTCCTGGTGCCAGTTTCAGGCTTGTCTCTGAAGAGGAGCTGGTGTCTTTTTTGAGAGCTGTGATGCAATTACTGGCTACAGGAAGCTGAGTGGAGAGATTTGGCAAGGGTGGTGGCCATGATTTGGTGAGTGAGGGTCAGCTGTCCCCATATTGGGAAGACCAGATGGTTAAGAGAAACATCAAAAAAAAAGCATTGAATCACTTACTACCTTTACCAAGACAAAGGAATTCCAGGCCCCACTGACAGTCATAAAATAGAAATGTTGTACTCAAAAGTTTTTCATTTGTACAAAGTAGATGTATATTTGGCATGTGTGGTAGTCATTAGGTCAGAAACTAGCTGATATATTCAACTTAGTGACTACGGGTAGGTAAACTAGTAAAATTAAACCTATGGGAAAGTATGAGTAGAGTATACAAGTGCTTGTTTATTTTATTTGAGGAAAACGGAAGGGGAGTTTTCAATACTTTACATTTATGAAAGAATAAATAGTGCCTCAAATCTCAGTATCTGGATATAGGAGAGATCATGATTTTACAGTGAATTGACTATTTCAGTTTGAAAAGTACAAACAATAGCCCAGTAGGTCAGAGATCAAAAAGCAAACAAGAACCCTCCTCTCATCATTTGGAATTCATCAATTATCCTACCAGTTTCCTAGGATGTAGAAAGAAAATATTTCTTTTGGATTACATGGTGACATGAAAAAAATATTGCTGTACAGACAAGCAAGATTTGCACAAAATTGTTTTCAGACTCCTTCAGGTCATTCCCAAGCTATATTGGCATAGGTGATAATCAATTTTAATGAACAGAGCTTCCCACGGTTTGTCACTCTGGCATTCTTGTTGGAACAATTTCAGGATGTTTTTCCATTCATCTCCCTTGGCATCCTACCTTGTAAGTTCCTTGCATCATCCTAATTCAAGGTCTTGTTTAATTTTTGCAGTAGAGAGCTCGAAGCAAGTCAATTTAAAATGAGTCATCCCTGGGGTCTTCCTGTCTATTCTCTTAGATGAAATCATGGTGCCTGTGGTTCAAGAAGATCCCAAATACCTTTTGAAGCTTGTTTTGATCTTGAATGCAGGGTTTCAAATGTGAAGTCTCAGGGAGAAAAATTTTCAAAAATTCTACATGGAGTATAGATGAGGCTTGTCAAAGGAATAGTCATTAGAATGATGACTTCAGTCACCAACAATATTACAACTCCTTGTGTTCACAAACAAATCAACTCTATATGTAGCTGCTGAACACACAGCGATCTATATGTCCGATACTTCAACTGTGATAGATAGTTCTTTTTATGATGTTCTCTTGGATTTTTCTTTTCTGGTTCCTGCAGAATATTGTTCCTTTTTACAACTTTAATGATTCTCAATGCTATTCAAACAGAAGAAAGTCATGTCATATAGTGATGGAAATGTAGTGATTGCTGCACTTGTTCCATTTTATATTTCTCATGAGGACAGGGCACTTACTTTTATGAGTTTCATACGACAAACTCAAAAAAGGTAAGTGGTTTCAAATTTTATTAGTTTTCGTTATTCAAATTTCATTGAACTCAAGCAAGTTTGGATTGTCATAAATTTAATTTTATTTCCCACCCTAGCAAGCCCTCTCAAGTACTCAGAAACTTCTTTCTCAGGTGTGTCTTCCTGTTCCTTTTTCTCCCCTCTCAAAGAAAATAAAGTGTTTTAATCCATGTTAAACATTTGATATTCTCAATCTCTGCATTCCTTTTCAGTGCCTTCAGCTGTCCTTGGTTGGGGTATTTACATGGTTTTCTTTGCAGATGGAATATCTTGCAATTTGGCTTGTTGTTTTGGGCCATTTTCAATGTGTAGATTTCACCCTCCAGGAGAAATGTTGCCAGTTATCACAGTGACTACAGAGTCCATATGTGATGATCGTGGGGTGATAGGTAATGCCAGTGCTCTCTGCTGTTGTTTAGCAGGTCAGAATGTGAGAATCTGGAGTTGGGAGATCTTCTACTTAAAATGCTTCAAAATGATTTGCAATTTTCAGGTAAAATTTTGATTAAAAACCTTTTAGATTCTGTCAATTTTGCACCATTTGCTCCACTTCATTTATGTCTTTCTAATTATTAAAACTGGTATAGATATGCTGGGCATTGGTGGCACACTCCTTTAATCCCAGCACCTGGGAGGCAGAGGCAGGTGGAAATCTGTGAGTTTGAGACCAGCCTGGTGTACAAGAGCTAGTTACTGGACAGCCTCCTATGCCACAGAGAAAACTTGTCTTGAAAAATAAAATGGTATGGATATTATCTAGAGCTCACATAGATGTTGATTGTGAATTTTCAATGTAGTATCCTAGTTTTGTGCCTTTTATAGTAGAGGTTAGTGGTGCTTATCGCACTTAAGTTAGTAAAATGTCTTATACTCAACTGTCGAGAAATGCCTACATAGACTTTCTTGTGAAGGATGCAAGATCTCTATTATTAGATGCAAAATTTTCTGTAGATGTAAGATACATGAGACCTGAGACTGGGAAAAATTGTTTATACTAAATTTTAACACAAAGCTGGAAAATGGAAATGCAGAAGCAACGTTCAAGTAGAGAGTCGGCACACAGACAAGCAGAAGTGACGATGAAATTAGGTCCTTGTGATATGATTGTCTTTGTGTTGAAACAGGGGTGAGGTGACAAGTGCTCAGCACAGCAAATGATCAGAGAGGAAAAGTTGATAGATTATGTAGGATATAATACATAGTCTGTAATAGACATAGGAAGTATGGTGACAAACATTCATTTACAGAAAGGTACCTATGAGTCTATACGTGGAACATGAGTTTATTTTGTCTTTTACCCTTTTATACATGTTCTTTCTGATAATCATAAGAAAGGACATGAAATGTGTGGCCAGGAGTATATTCATTACAATATTTTTTTCTTAATCTCTAAGCTGTTTTATATTTGTTAGATCACAATTTAAAAGATAACTAAACATCATATATCTATACCCCTATATACATTTTTATATATACTCATATATTTTTATTTTAATGAATTTGTTGTGGCCACTCAGAGAGGACCCCAAGACATCAAGGAGCATAACAACATTAAATTCAAGTACATGAAGGTCCATTATATCCAGAAATCCAGCTAGGGGGCATGGAAGCCCTGAGACTACAAGTCTTATTAGTGTTCCCATAGTTAAAGATATTACTTAGCACATTAAGTCTTTATACATAGTTATAGCACAACAAGTTTTCATACAAAGTAAAAATGGGGCCTTTAGAAGACAATAACTGCCTTTAGATAGTTAGAATTAATTGTCACTTCTGTGCTCCAGGATTCAATAGCGAGAGAACATCCTATGGCTCTGAGTTAAATGAGTAGCTGCCACTGCTGTTGCAGATACTCATGGGTCTGGGATTCTGATCAGGTAACCTCATATAACCTTCCTCACTTAGTTGGAGTCTTTTATTTTCTTTTGTTTTTTTTTTTCATCCATTTACCTTAGTGGCCCAGAACACATCAATATTAATATATTATTTTTGCAATACAGTATATATAAAAAATGTACCCTTTCAGATTAATGCTGGTTTATACATATTAGCAGAATCACTAATTTTCTGATCAGGTATATTTTAAAATAATTTTGTGAATGAATAGTAATATTCCCTGTGACAGATTAAAAACAGTCAATTTCTCTACTTATGTACCCCCATCATTTTTCATATTTTTTGAAGATACAGTTGATAGGACAAGTTCAACTGTCATTTTTATAATGCAACTACAAGAATTTCCATATATATTAGTCACTCAATGAATAATAGAGGATATCATGCTCTTTTCATTGTGAAACTGATATTTAAATGAGTATTTAATTTTCAAAGTAAATGAACCAGACAACAAAATTACTGATTTTGAGCTGTATTATTTGTTATGATCTTATCTGTTTATCATTTCTCAGAATATGGCTCTGCTCTTTAAGTTGCTTTTTAAAAATTCTATAAAGTTGTAACACCTGAAATAAAATCGATTGTAAGGTTATTAGATATTATGTTTACTAAGAAAAAAGCTCATAAAAATAACTAATTACAGATAGATTATATAAAATTTACTTATCCATTAAATAAAATATAAGTAAATTGTTCCACACCGTTAATAATTAGCAAGTTACATTAACAAGACACTTGGTCTCTATCTAAAGGACCATGTTTATAATTAAAAAAAAATATTCCATAACACTCTCTAAAGTTACCACTCTCTGAGGAGTGAATGGGATGTGGGGTGAGGAGATACTGGAGGGAGTGCGAAGACTGGAGGAAGAGGGAACTGAGATAGGTTTGGAAATTGAGATTGTTCTTTAAATTCTATAAAATTGTCTTTAATGCCTTTATAGATGACATGACTATAGGGAAAGGAATATGCAATAGAAGCTGTTGATTGTATTTGCTCAAATATTACTCCCATAATAAGAAGGGAAAGCAGCTCCAATATGTATGAAAGGGGTTTGAGGAATACCAGAAAGAAAATATTTTGACAGATTTTTGCTAATGAACAAAGGCCATAGATAAAACTCCAAACAAATGACATTGACATTTCAGTTCTTCCAGACACCAAAACCGATGTATCTGTAATGTCTCAAAACTCTTAAAATCCTAACTGGCCTATACAATAAGTCTCTACTCAAAACTGGGCATTGGTATCTTATCTCAGGAAAAACAGAATGTAAAATGAGTTAAATATAGAGGGTCTGAAGGGCAAATAGAGATATGAAAGCCTTATTAAAGATGTAATCATAGTCTAAAGGAGATGCTTGTCAAACAGAAGAGGGATATGAGGACCACTAAGGATAACCTACATAATGGTCAACCAACTTCAAAACTTTTAAACACTAATAAAACAGGGACATGAGTTGGTTGAAAACACTTGGTTATGGAAAAAACTGTTCAATTATGTCAGCCTGTTTAAAGAATGGAAAGTGTTAAGATGGGGCCAATGTTATGCTTATGTTTCCACAGGAGATAAAAGGTTATGGACACCATCAAAACTGATAAAAATCTGTGATAGGGAAAGTCCTGTGCATATATCAATAAAGCACTGTTGGCCAATAGGAAAGCAAGATAGGAGTGACTAGGAGTTGAGGAGGACTCTGAGAAGGAGAAACACAGGAAGTCAAGATGTATCTGCCATAGGGATAAGAAGCCCGGAAACTTTGCTCTGGTAAGAGAAATACTTAGATTAACAATTATGGGTTAAATACTTAAGACAGAGCTAGGCAGTAAGAAACAAGCAAGGCCAACAGCTTCATAATTAATATAGCCTCCTGTGTGTTCATTTGGGACTGATGCGGCTCTGGAACCAGGCTGACAAGAAGGCTTCCCTTTACAAATCTGTCATGAGAAAGAAGATCTCTTGGATGTTTATGCTGCTGAGATGCCTCTCAGAAGATAAGAAAGGGAAGGCATTTGGAGCAGACAGCCAATCCACCCAGCTATGGCCAGCATAGCATTTGTGTGAGGAATGAGAGGCACTTACTTAAGTTTCTCAGATACCTTAGAATGTTACAACCTTGTACTTTGCTATGTTATAGGTGGTATCTATGTAGAACACAGGAACTGATCATACTTACTGGGCCTATATTCCAAGTCATCCAATTAGATCAGCAGTTAAGTTGAACAGATATGGATAGTCCTGTGGTGGTTCATGAGTCTTCTTCTCTCCCTGGTCCTTATGACAAAGGAGTTCCTGTTCAGCTAATGGAAGAGGGTACAGAGATTTAAAATTATACTTTGAGAGTAGAAGAAATTCCTATTTGTATGGTAAATTGAATTCAGTGCCTAAACATAACCTTTCAAATATGTAGTAAATAGTACTCAAGATCATCATTCTAAGTTTTATTAAGTTTTATTTACTTCATGCATCTGGTTTAAAAGGACATGGGATTAATGTGGCTAATTCCAAAAATATACCCTTGTGTTGTATGTGAGTTACCAGTAAGGAATCTGACTGGGTACATTAGCAACAATTTAAGAGAGAGAAACCTGTAGACAGGCTTTAGTGGCACACACCATTAATCCCAGCACTTGAGACGCAGAGGCAGGCGGATGTCTGTGAATTCGAGGCCACCCCGATCCATAGAGTGAGTTCCAGTACAGTCTCCAAAAAATAGAGAGAAACCCTGTCTCAGAAAATCAAAAAAAGAAGTGAGAAACCTGGAGTGCTAATTAACATCGCCCATGTAGACAGAATTTACTGTGGCCCTTATGACATCCTTTGGGAAAAATTTTCTCATTTAGTTAAGATGATGATGGTATAAACCATGTGTGTGCAATAAACTAGGTTTTCTTTTCTGCTAAAGTTGAACTCACCTGCAGGGTAAAATATTCATATCCACCATCAGGTCATTCAAGGCTGTTGTGTAATACATTCTGCTAAGGAGTTAGGAACATAGTGGAAGCATGGAGAATGAGGAAAGCAGATGAGAGAAAACACAGTATTGAGCACACAAAACCCCCCAAATCTCAAGTCATGACTATAGGCTGTTAATCCACTGGAAGATTACTCAGTCATTGTTCTCTTCCTTGTACGGTTCTCAGAATGGAGAAGGACATGGGGGAGATGAAAGATTTTTCAAAGATCTTTGCTTGGGAGGGAGATATTTAAACCCCTCCCAGGTGCAGAACTTAATGTTGCTTTAGGTTTGCCATATGCAACTCAGGGAGACATCAACATAAGCATCATTAATCCTTAATTAGAACAACTCAAAGGCTTCAGTCTCTCCATCTGTGTACAGACAGAAGGAATGATGGGTGGAGGCTTTGGGGTGATATAGTAGAGCACAGGCAAAACTTTCAGGATGCAAGTTTCCATCTTCTGGTTATTTCACTTAATAATCAAAGAATCTGGGGTTTTGTATGTGCTTCTACTTACCAGGAGATTCCAGGGTTATATAAATTCAAGTCAGCTCTCTTGTCCAGGAATTTTAACTCCCTCAAGGCCTTTATGTAAGTAAAAATCTCCACTTACAATATACCCTGACATTCAGATTATAACCATTAGCATGATGAAAAAATTATTGTTTGTCAATACATAACATAGAAGGTATAAGAGCCATTGCAAAGCCGGGCGGTGGTGGTGCACGCCTTTAATCCCAGCACGCGGGAGGCAGAGGCAGGTGGATCTCTGTGAGTTCGAGGCCGGGCTGGACCGATAGCCTCCAAAACAATACAGAGAAACCCTGTCTCGTAATAACCCCCCCAAAAAACAGCCATTGCATCATACTGTTATATGAGTATCATTCATAAATATTGATAATCATTCTCTGCAGAATCAGGAACATTGCCTACCAGTATTCTGTGTCCTTCATATTCGCCATTGAGGAAATCAACAGAAACACTCACATTTTACCAAACACATCTCTAGGATTTGACATCTACAATGTCAACAGCAATCGATGGGATACTCTGGAGGCACCTTTTCTTTGCCTCACAGGAATGGGTATAATGATTCCCAATTACACATGTAGAAGGCAGAATAATATTGCTGCTCTACTTACAGGAGCATCATGGCCAACATCTGCACATATTGGGAGACTGCTGAATATCTACAATTTTCCACAGGTGACAAACAAGAAACCTGTGTTACACTGCAGACATTTCAGGTTTAGTAAAATGTAGAGAAGTGAGAATATGTCATTATCAATTGAAGAGAATAAATCAGACATTTGGTTATAAAGCCTCAGATACTTGGCTGAAGATAGAGAATAGGAATAGTTTGAAACTACATTGGGTGGGTAGAATGTGCTGGTCTTGTGAGGTATTAGCTATAAATATTTCAAATCATCATAGGAGTTTAAAGCACAATGAGCAGAAGTTATTCTCTATGAAACAAAAGTGCTGCCTTGGATTTAGGATTGTGTTCTATTTCAATGTTTTCATTCTTGTTTCTATTTGAAATTTCCTTCAGGTTTATTTTGGGCCATATGTCACTATCCTTAGTGACAGACACCAATTCTCTTCTCTCTACCAGACAGCACCCAAGGACACATCTCTGCCACATGGCATTGTCCTTTTGATGCTGCATTTCAACTGGACATGGGTAGGACTGGTTCTCATGGATGACAACAATGGGGCTGAGATTCTCTCAGATCTGAGAGGAGAGATGGACAGGAACCATGTGTGTACAGCATTTGTAGGAATGATTCCAGGCAATGTGGCTTCATTTTTCAATAAAAACAAAGCTATTCCCCAGATCATGAAAACAACTGCAAATGTGGTTGTCATTTATGGTGACAATGAATATTTAAGTGGCATAATCTTCTGTATAGGATACTTTTTAATGAATTGGAAAGTCTGGGTCATGAAGTCACAATGGGATCTGAATTTTACTGCTGATGTTTTCTTGTTGGATTCATTACACGGGAGTCTCATTTTTACACATCAGCATGCTGAATTTTCTGATTTTAGGAAGTTTATCCAGACATACAACCCTTCCAAATACCCAGATGATTATTATCTTGCTTATCTTTGGAAACAACACTTCAATTGCTCCTTTTCTGGCCCTGATTGTAAAATTCTTGGTAACTGTCCACCCAATGTTTCCTTGGATATGTTGCCTAGAAATTACTGGGAAATGGACATGAGTGAAGAGAGTTACAATGTATTCAATTCTGTATATGCTGTGGCTCACAGTCTTCATGAGATGACCAGCAAGCAAGTGCAAAATTATCCCCAAGAAGAAAATGGGGAGATGAACATTAACCGATGGGAGGTAATTTTCACCTTTTCTATTTTAAGAATAGCAGGGTGAAAAAGTAATGTTTTATTTTATTTAAATTAGAAACAAGTTTGCTTTATATGTCAATCCCAGGTCACTCTCCCTCTCCTGCCCCCAACAACTCTCACATCCCTGTACCCCACATCCTGAACTCCCCTGGGAATGTGAGGCTCTCCATGGAGGACATCAAAAGTGTGTCATATAATCCACTGCAGGGCCTAGGCTCTCACCCATTTATCAAAGCTGAGATAGCATCCTTTCATGTGGAATGGGCTCCCAAAGTCCATTTATACACCAGGGATAAGTACTGGTCTACTACACAAGGCCACATAGATTGTCAAGGCCATTCTGGCCTCTCAGTCATAAGTCTGGGGTCCCTAGACTCCCCCTTTTTGAGATAATCTGTTTCTGTGTGCTTCTGCAGCCTGGTCCTGGCCCCTTTGCTTATCACATCCTCTGTGACTGGGTTCCAGGAGTTCAGTTCAGTATTTATATGTGCTTGTCTGCCTCTGCTACCATCAGCCACTGGATGAAGGCTCTAGGATGACATTTAAGGTAGTCATCAAACTCATTATTGGGTAGGGCATTTAAGGTAGTCTCTCCACTATTGCTTAGTTTGCCAGTTGGTGTCATCTTTGTAGATCACTGGAAATCTCAATAGTGCCAGATCTATCCTCAAACCTACAATGACTCCCTCTATTATGGTATCTCTAATCCTGCTCTCTTCTATTCATGCGCTAACTCAACCTTCCTGTTCCCCCTTGTCCTCCTCTCCCCTCCTAATGTACATGTTTTTGTGACTGGTTTACCTCACTCAGCATTGTTTCTCTTAGTGTCATCCATTTGCCTGCAAATTTCAAGATTCCATTGTGTAAATGAACCACAGTTTCTCTATCCATCTTAGGTTGAGGGACACCTAGTTTGCTTCCAGGTTCTGGTTAGTATAAAAAATGAGGGCATGAATATCATTGAACAGATGTATGTATTTTATGAATGAGCAACACCAGATTCTGCATTTCTTTTAGCTTAACCACTTTCTCAAGAATATGAATTTCAAAAATCCTGCTGGAAACACTGTGGATCTGGACCCACAAAGGAAATTAGATACAGATTATGATATTCTCAACCACTGGAATTTTCCACTTGGTCTCAGACAAAAGATGAAAATTGGAACATTTTCTCCGAATGCTCCAGAGGGCCAAGAAATATTTTTGTCTGACCATATGATTCAGTGGCCCACAGGATTTGCAGAGGTGGGTTGGTTCTTATCTAATAGGTTTGATCTCAATCAATAAACATTAATTTGTGGATGTAATAGCTTTTGATTCCTTACTCAGTGCCCATCTGTATACATAAAACTACTGGCTTCTGAGGAATTATTTGTTTCCTTATTCTGATTAATGGGACTGTTTATTTTTAAATCCTTTTTTCCTATGGGCTCTTACTTCCAGTTATAAATACAGTATTAATTCATTCACATTTCATCCATGTGCTGAAACCACCTGACAAGAACATTAATTTGACTCCCAGATTAAGAAATATAAGTTTATAGTCATTGTGCTTTAAGGCAACAGGAAGTGCATAAGAGTATGGAGTTAATTATATGACAAAAGCAAGAACTGGACCCAACTAAACGAAACCAAACCAAACCAAAATCCAGGCCGACCTAACCTAAGAACAAAGTCTTTTCTTGGTCATACTTGGCATTAGCAGCACATAATGTTTCACGCAAACATGTAGGTAAGAGTCTGAGGAATTGAATCATGTTGTTTGTTCAGGCAGGTAGTAGATATTGGTGAACACTGCTCTCCACATCCCTTTTTAGTTTTCATTCAGTAAACAACAATTGCCAATAAAAAGGTGCTACCTATTGTAATTTATGTCTTCTCACTTTAATGCCTTAATGTAACCATCTTTTACAGAAAGTGAGCAAGACTAGCTTATTTGGTAATTCTGAGTCAGACAAGCTGAAACATGCAGATTACACATCACCATTTGAAAACAAAGCTGCTTCCTGCAGCTGTCAGGAAGTACACAATAGGACTGCCATGGCATTAGAGTTGCCTCTTTAGACATGTTCTCAGTAACCTAAATTTTTCTTATTTTTCCCTACCTCTAATATTTAAACACCTGTTCATATTTTGTTGTCTTATGATCATTTGATTGAATACAGTGAACTTCATACCATATAATACATTGAAATAGAAGCTATTCATCAAAACAGGGATGCAAGTTATATATATATATATATATATGTATGTATATATTATTTGCATCCTTTTGTTCAGTAATGGAAAATACCACTTTTGTTGTTTTAAACTGTCCACTCCTGAAGATTTTCACCATGTATTTTACTCTCAGCTTCCTCGCTCTGTGTGCAGTGAGAGCTGTTTTCCTGGATTCAGAAAATCTGCCCAGGAGGGGAGGCCTCCTTGTTGCTATCACTGTACTCAGTGTCCACACAATGAGATTTCCAATGAGACAGGTAAGTGTCATGCTCACTGGGTGACAAATGGGTCTCCACCTGTTTGGAAATGTCTTCCTCATGCCTCTTGGTTTTCATCTTTCTCTGTTCTATATACCTTTTTAAAATTCATACTCCATGACTTGCTGTATTACTTGGTGGCTGACCACTGATGTCCTCCTTTCTTCCTTCTTTTGATTCTTGATTCTCATTCCCAATATCTCTCATCTACTTACTTTTCCACATATTTTCCCTGGCCATGCATTCTTCTTCCAGTTTATTGGCTATTAATCTCTTTACATCATGAAACACATTTTCTAAATCATAAACAAATGTAACCCATATTCATTTAATATTCCACAACAATGTTATCTGAAAGCATATCCAAGTAATAGGACGTAGGCATGAGACTCTTGAAAACAGTGACTGGAATGAGCATGCTTAGACACAATGTTTAATATGGAGAGAAATTCAAAGAGGATTCCTGAATCTTAACATTAATATCTAATAGATTCTTCATATAACAATTGAAGTATTTTGAGTAAAATAATGTCTTTCATGAACACTCAGATGTGTTAATATTTCCTCTTAAGGAGAGGAGGAATTTCAATGTTTTGGTGAGTTTGATTTGTGTAAAATCAAAATATGCATATTGAGCCATACTATACATGCTATCAAAGACTTACGGTGCTTGTACTTTGTTACATTGGAGTCATATTAATTTGATGCAAATGTTAAATATATTCCTTGGAGGAAACTAGAAGCAACAGTACCAACCAATGCATTGTTGCAGTTTAAGGAGGCACTTCAAATTATATATAGTAACAAAGAAGAAACTAAAACAAAAATGCTAAATATTTCAAACAGTGAATCTCATACTTCAAAGCTTATAGAATAACATGTAACTATCTTTAAAATATAATTTTCAATTTCTAAAAATATTTAACATGACTTATATACCCATTGTTTTTATTATTGAAGTTATAAGTTTGTGCTTATGAGCCATTCATGCTCAGATAGAATCAATAGAAATAAACACACAGTCTCTAGAGGAGACAAAGTACCTTGAGAGTGAGAGAGTAACATGAAGGCAGAGCTGGAAGAAATAACAAATAAAATGCTGATAATGGAGTAAAAGAGAGTAGGCACTAGCAACATGATGAATTCAATAGATCTTTAAATGTGAATTTTCAACAAATTGAAAAATCCATTTTGCAGAAGTATTGAATATTTTAATGGAAGGAAAATATTGTAAATACAATGATATTTTCATCTTTTTAATTAAAAAGGAGCTAAAAATTTAAAAGTGATTAAGCATCACTCAATTATTTCAAGAATGAATAAGACTAAAATTACAGACGTATATCTATCTGTTAAATTGATCATTTCTCCTTAGAAAGGAATAAACAGTTTCACAAAAGTGAACTTTTCAAGTTTGAAAAATCTAATAACTGTCATTCTAAATGCAGTAAGAGAATCAGCACCCTGAAGAATTCATTCATTAAACATTATGGGAACAGATTAGTTTGGATCTTATGACTGAGGACATTCATTGAAAACAAATAAAACACATACTCCTTGTACTGAACTCTCAGAGAAAAGTCACATAAGGGAATTCAGATTGAGGAGATACTATGATCAATTAGATTTATGTAATTTAAATCAGTACTTTATGCATAATAAATAAATACAAATCATTACTCAGATGAAAATATATTTCAGTATCCTAATAAAAAGAATAGCATTGCTTATTATATGTACAATAAAAAACCTATAATGATTAATTTCAGAGCATTTAGGAGTTTTCAGTATTGAGCACTGGTTTACTTGAGCCTGAAACAACAAAAGATATGTGGGGAAATTCCAGAGGGCTGGTGCTGGGAAGTGGTTTGGGATAAAGGGGTAACCTGAACAGAGACTCACAATATTTCAATTCCTGAGCAGATATGGATCATTGTGTGAGGTGTCCAGAAAGTCATTATGCAAACACTGAGCAGAATCACTGCCTCCAGAAAACAGTGACCTTTCTGGCCTATGAAGACCCTTTGGGGATGGCACTGACCTCCTTGGCCCTGAGCTTCTCTGCTCTCACAGCTGGTGTTCTTGGTGTCTTTGTGAAGTACCACCACACTCCCATCGTCAAGGCAAACAATCAGGCTCTGACTTACACCCTACTCATCACTCTGACTTTCTGTTTCCTCTGTCCCTTGGTCTACATTGGCCACCCCAACACAGCCACCTGTATCCTGCAGCAGAGCACATTTGCAGTTCTGTTCACGGTGGCTCTTTCCACAGTCTTGGCCAAAAGTGTTACTGTGGTTCTGGCTTTCAGGATCACAGTTCCAGGGAGACTGATAAGGTGGATAATGATATCAAGGGCTCCTAACTTCATCATTCCCATCTGCACCCTCATCCAACTTGTGCTCTGTGGAATTTGGCTGAGCACCTCTCCTCCCTTTGTTGACTCAGATGCTTACTCAAATCATGGACACATAATTATTATATGCAACAAGGGCTCCACTATTGCCTTCCATTCTGTGCTGGGTTACCTCTGCTCCATGGCACTTGGGAGCTACACTATGGCTTACCTGTCCAGGAACCTGCCCAACACATTCAATGAAGCCAAGTTCATGTCCTTCAGCATGTTGATTTTCCTCAGTGTGTGGGTCACCTTCCTTCCTGTCTACCACAGCACCAAGGGGAAACTTGTGGTTGCCATGGAAGTCTTCTCTATCTTGGTTTCTAGTGCAGGCCTCCTAGGTTGCATCTTTGTCCCCAAGTGCTATATTATTTTGTTCAGACCACATAGGAATATGCTTCATCAAGTCAGGAACAAAGCACATTCTAGAGTAAAAGTTGATTATACAGTTTAGTCCATGTTTTTCTTAATTATATATAAGACTTCTTGTCAATATAGGAGCAATCCAGTTGACAGAGATAGTGAAGCAATGTAATGTTTTATAATTATTGGTTTCTTTTATTAATGAATCCATCATTACATTCTCATTTTGGAACATGTTTTGCATGTTTATCTATATTAGAAAGATTAATTTGACAAATATTCTGGCTTGTTATAGAGGACATTTGTATAATAAGTACATTAAGGTGAACTAAGTCAAACATGGTAGCTTATTTGAAATTATGGAATATGTTAGAATACTACTTTAAAGATCTGACATCTTTGCTTCAATATTACATGCTATCCATTTCAGGTACAATAGATGGATCCTAGAAGATTGTCAAAATGCTCCTATATTCATTAAAGTCCACTGAGATTTATCCTTTTTTTTTTTTTGGTTTTACAAGACAGGGTTTCTCTGTATTGTTTTTTAGGCTGTCGGTCCAGTCTGGCCTCGAACTCACAGAGATCTGCCTGCTTCTGCCTCCCGAGTGCTGGGATTAAAGGCGTGCGCCACCACCACCCAGTGAGATTTATCCATTCTTACATCACCACCAAATGCTCCTTCACCACAGATAGGATACACTGCTTCTTCTTGTAACTTAGACTGTGCCTACTCCTGAAAACTGATTCTCAGAAGCTACCAATATTGTTAGAGCCCACTTAAGACTGCAATATGTCTCACCAACATTATTAAAAATTTAAATTTGCATAAGTGATGGGTGGTGTAGCTTTGATTATTCATATTTGTCAAATTTCATTTTCTCTAGGACTTAATAGAGTGTTTTTCATATATTCTTCTAATTACTGACATGCTATTGAAGCACAATGTATTTGATTTCTTACCAATGTAAAAATGTCAATAGAATAATTGAACAGAAAGAGAATGTATTTTGGTTCATTGTATTAGAGGGCTTACCTGTGGTTACTTGGCCCAGTGTACTTGGGCAGAACATCCTGCAAGCAGATTACTTAAGAAAACAGATGTTGGGGAGTGCCAGCCTACAATCCTATTGCCAGAGAGTCTGGGAAACAGAAACTTCATTTACTGGCTGGTTAAGTACTGAGCTGAACTCAAGAAAGCCAGTATCAGAGAGGGAGGACTGATGATCAAAGGGATTAAGACTGGGCTGGTTGAACCCCCAGAAACAGCTGACCAGACAAAGGTTAACTCTTGAATCCCAGGCATCAGCCTGGGAATCCAGCATGGGACTGATCAAGACCCCCTGAATCTGGGTGTCAGTGAGGAGGCCTATGTAATCTATTGAGCCTTGGACAGCAGATCAGTACCCATCCCAAGTATACACACGGTCTCTGGACTCCCATAGAACAATGTGAGGTGCACTCTCACCCTGAACTCTTGGGGAAGGGTCTAGGCCCTGCCCTATATGAAATGACAGACTATGGACACCCCCATGGAGGGCCTCACCCTCCCTGGGGGAATGAGGGATAACGGGGGGGGGATGGGGGGAGGGCACGGGAGGAGGGGAGGGAAAGGGAGAGGGACCTCGTACTGACTTGTGAAGCAACCTTGTTTTTTATCTAAATTTAAAATGGAAAATAAAAAAAAATAAATAAATAAAAAAATTTCAAAAAAAAAAAAAAAGAAAACAGATGTTGTTCACTTTGTGGTGACCCATCTGGCAGGGACAGTCAGTGTAAGAGCAGGGGCACCTAGGAGAAAATTGGTGAAAAGGGGTACAGAGAATGGATGACAAGACAGCATTCTTATGGAGCCAACAGCCTTTACTCATTCCAAAGGGGTTTATACATATATGGCTGTAGGTGGGACATGAGGAGGGGAGGGAGTGGGGTGTTGACTGCATCTGCGAGGAAGCTGGGAGGTCAAAAAGGGGAGTGAGGGGTCGACCATCCTGGTGACCTAGCTGCAGGTTCCAATTCTATCTTTCACAATCTACCCTCTATTGCTCAAGCCTATCGCCCAAGTGACTTGGTAATTTTCACTTGGCTTAATCTTTAACTGACATATAAGCTGCTAGACTGTTTCTCAGAACTTGCTTCATATCTTAAGAGGTGGTATTTCTACCATGTGTCCTGGATAGTACTAGGGTTGGTTTATGGCTGAGGACCCTGACACTGTCAAACAAGGGGAATTAGAGTGAGAGGTGACACACTGGGAATACCATAGTGACCTATGTCCTTCCATTGTGCCCCATTTCCTAAACTAGGTCTAACAACACCCCTAAGCAGTGCCACTAGTAAGTAGCCAGGCAGTGAAAGCATAAGGTTTGAGGGAAGAATGGTCTTCTCTTAATAATACAGTGAGTTCTGCTATAGATGGTTTTAGTTATCTGTTTACATTTCATTCTTTAGACTGAAATGCAGTGATGCAAAACTACTGGGCTTTCTCTTTCTTACAAGTCTGTAGATGTACAGAGAGGCCCCTTTATTCTGTATTATCCAGTCAAGACATAAATGATTTCCCATGTTCTAAGTGACACATCTCTGCTTTTGGTCAAAACAATGGGCATGTCTTTAACCCTTGTCCTGTCTCTTGAAGATCTTTTATCATTCATGGAATAAACTTTGTTTTTCCATATAGTGAAAAACAGCTGTACCAGAAGGCTCCCACGCAGAGTTCACTTATTTGTGGGTTGTAATTTGTGCTATTGTCAATTAGGATGTTATCACACTTTCTTGGAATATATCAGCCACGTAGAAATATAACACATTGGGACAAAACAAAAATAAACCTAATTCTTCAGAAAAAGTAGTGAGAATATCACAACGCCATGCTTGGAAAACAGTTGCAGCAAGATCTGTATAGAGCTGCTTTCTGCAAATAGGAATCCCTTTGCATACTCCTTCCATTAACAGAAGATGTGCTGAATAGTGTTTTGAATGAATAGAGTACATTTCTATGGTCCCAGTGTAGAGCAAAAGCTTTCTTTTATATTCTGATAATCCTAAAAATCCCTGCCTCTGTTCAGTACTTGGCTGCCATCTGAAATTATATAGAGCTGTATTCCTCTACAAACCACAGTGTTTGAAATTCTTTTTAACCAAATTATTGCTCTGTCTTATTAAATGCCTGAATGATTCATTTGTAATAACAATCAAATAGAATTAATATTTTGTCCAATAAATCAGCCATTCCTTTATTATTTGTCCTAATTCAGCATTGCAGGACATGTGAAACATAAGAAAGTTTTTGAATGAAAATATTACATAAATGACTCCTAGCCTAATTTTTCTTGGAGACTATCAATGAAATCTTATGAACTTGACCTCAACTGTATACCTTATCATTGAGCATCCTGTAATCCAGGTCTTACAGAAATAAAGATCTGAGCTGTGTTCATAGTGTACTATAGCTTTTGCCATCTAAAGTTATGGTATTTTCCACATTATTCGAGAAGACAACATTCCCAAGTCCTTTGCAGCAAT